CTATTACATATGGGAGAACGTGCAAAATACTCGTGTGGAACAAATTCCTTTTTGTTTTGTTTTGTTTTGTTTTAAGGATCTCTATTCACTGACCTTCCCTCATTGTTTTGAATTTACACAGCCTCTTTGCCACAAAGGGAAAACTTTTGCTAAACTTTCATTCTTTCCCACCACCCATAACCCCTGGAGTTCCTTAAAGGGATGATCCGGCCGTTTGCCAGAGGCAACATCGATTCACGAGACAGAATCTCAAACTTCTAGTATCGCCTTTAAAAAAAAAAGTCCGTCCTGTGCTGTTGATGGAAGCTCAGTTTGGGTTCCAGCTACAACGGAGAACATCTGGTTTGAATCACAGCCCTGGGATAAATCAGCGGCAGAAAATGTAAGGAGATGTGTTTCGGCTCAGGCAGAGGAAATACACAGGACACGTGGCTGGGCCGTGTCTTTGTGCAAACAGGCTCCAGGCTCAAATCTCAATTTTGCAACCAGGAAAAATATTTGGGGAAGGGATTCGGTGGATCTCTCCTCTAACCTTTCAACCTCGCAGGTTCTCTGCAATGTCTCTTCTTCATTTCAGGCCCTCCTTGGAGGAGAGCTGGGACCCCCCACCCCAGTACCGACCGCCAAAAAGGAGGAAGTGCTTCGCACCAGGAAAGCGCAAGCAAGGGCTCTGCCACACGTGTGGCCTGTGCTAACTTCGAGGAACGGATGCGCGCTGGGGAACAGGAATTGTGTTTGAGCACCGCTCATCTCGCCACGGCTGGGTGCGCTGCTGCACCACTTCTGCATTTCGTGCGCGCCACATCCAGAGCGAGTCCGAGGGCGCCCGGCCGAGCGCTTTCCTCCGAGCCCCGTTTTTGCTGGCAAGGCGGGGCTGCAGCGGGCGGCCTGGGCCCCACGAACCGCGGACAACGAGGCGCGCCGAAGCCCCGCCCGGAAGCGGCCGGAGGGGGGACTGCGCCGCCCTGTCCTCTGCGGGGCCTCCCCAAGCCGCGACGGCCGGCCGGCCGGCCGGGGGCCCAGTCCCGGCCCCGGCCTCGCGGGGGGGGGGGCTGCCCGGGCAGCGCAGGGGCCCCGGGCCCCCGAGGAGAGGGGCGCAGCAGGGCCGCACGCG